ATTCTTATTGACAGTTTAATTTTAAAGAAGTTAGAGATTAACTGTATCTAAATAAATCGAATAAACATTTGATATTAACTATAAGTTTTTTAAATATTGGCGAATAACTGTTCAAATTTGCCGTCAATACTACGCCCATAATTATGCATGCTCCGGCATATAGTTTTTAATTTTATTCGAAACCTGTTATAACATTTGAAACTTCCTAATACAAAGTGTTCTAAAAAGGTATGTCAAAAATTTAAGGAGATATTCCTCATACCTGAAGGATGAAAAATGTTATATGGACGTAGGTGCGGAAATGCTTATTTCAGAAGTTATGTTGAAAATACTGTTAGCTGTATTACTTACACAAGGAAAAATTTAGGATTAATTATTGTAGACGACAATCGTTTAATTAGACTTATTTACATTTAGATTTAATGTGACCTTGAGTTAGTTACAATAAATGTTGAAAATGTTCGCCATTCGCCTGAATATAAGCAGTGACACGTCGACGCATTGATTCACGGACACGTTCAAAAATGCCCTTCTCTGGTAAACTGTGCCTTATTCGTAAACACCAATCAGAATAAAACATTAAAACCAAATGTAAATAAGCCTAATTAAACGATTGTCGTCTATATTAATTAATCCTAAATTTTTCCTTATGTAAGTAGTACAGCTAACAGTATTTTCAATATAACTCCTGAAATAAGCATTTCCGCACCTACGTCCATATAACATTTTTTCTCCTTCAGGTGTGAGGAATATCTCCTTAAATTTTTTACATATCTTTTTAGAACACCCTGTATATAAAATTTAGAATAAGAGCACATATTTCAGACAAATACGGACTCGTATTAGATGATTTATTAAGTCAAATGGGTGCAATTTATTAAGTCAAAATGAGGCAATATCACTAATTGGGACATTCTCCTTGCCGTGACTGAAAAAATTTACTCGAACATTCAATTGTATCAAAACTCGGCTGAGATAAACTAATTGAAACAAAAATTAACTAATTATATATAAGGTGGCCTATGTAAAATGTGATAACCCAAAAACTCTAAAACTATTTGTCGTATCGAAAAATTGTTCATGACAAAATTTCATATATAAGAGAGATTTTTCTAACTATATAAATAAAAAGTCCACCTCCTCTTTTCCCTGAAAAGGAGTGTGGGATAATCTCGTAATTTCAAATGAGACCTCCTATAAAATGTAACACGTTTGGATTCTACGGGAAGAAACAAGTAAACTTTATCTGGAATGTTTCTCTAAAAAATACTTTTATCAAAAGTTATAAACATTTAACCCCAGAAATGTTGTTTAGAGTTGGACAAAATTTTGTAAAAAGAATTAATAAGTGTTTAAATGTGAGTGATGAACAGTTCGAACATTTAATAAAGTAAAACATGTGATAAACTATAAAGTCTTTCATCTAATTTTATCACTAGTTTGAATGCAATTTGCTGTAAAGTTTACATATTTATAACTTTTGATAGATAGAAGTATTTTTTAAAGAAATGTTCCAGATTTCAAAGTTTATTTGTTTCTTCCCGTAAAACCCAAACGTGTAACATTTTATAAGAGGTCCCACTCGAAATTACGAAGTTACCCCCTTCAGGGGAGAGCAGGGACGGACTTTTATTTATATAGTTAGAAAAACCTCCCGAATACACATGAAACTTTATCATCAACAATTGTTTAATACGACAAATATTTCTAGAGTTTTTGGGTTGTCACACTTTACATGGGCCACCCTATATAAAACTCTTATAGAAATCTTCTGTCCTTCTAATCAAATTTTCCATTTGACCCCTGTTCTTACCAAACAATGGAAAAGTTTATCATAGCGACAGAATAATTTTTTTGTGACGTTACGAGTTTCAGGATACCTCGTCAAACGATGATGATTTCACATATTCTACGAACACAAGCACGATATACACATACACACGCGCACGCTTGTAGTACATTCGTCCTGCAATGCGATATTTAGTTTACACAACGAGAGACAAGATCTCGCACTCGAATTTCGAAACATGTCAAGCGTAACGCCACGATGAAATGTAATCGCTACTTCATTTGAGAAACATCGACTGGTACCAATTTTCCGTCATACTCAATCGTCGATCCTCAACGCGACTACGTCGAGAACGTTTATTACGTGTCTCACGACACGTTACATGCAACAGATTCCTGTTTCCAGAGCGAGGCGGAGACGGATAACTCCAGGCGCGCGATTTCCGATTGACGGTGAAGAAGTATTCAAACGAAAGAAATATTCAGACGAATTAAGTAATTCGCCGCAGAAAAATGTAATCTTGCAAAATACCATGCTCAAGAAAGAGAGAGAGAGAGAGAGAGAGAGAGAGAGAGAAGGAGAGAGCGAGAGAGAGGACCCATTTACTCACATTGTATATTTCCGACAATTCCGAAATAAAGCGAGACAGCAAGAAGAGGATCGAAAGCAACGCAATCTCGTTTTTCTCTTTTGGATCTGCTTTATTTAATATCGGCTAGATATTCAGTGGTAATCTCGATTTGTGATATCCCGTCACGCGCCTCCGGTGTCCCACAAAATTTGCTTTCGAGCTCGGATTAGGCTCGCTTTCGAACCGCACGGCAGTTAACGCTAAATACAACTGTCCGCGCTTCTCTGCACTTTCCGCGATTACATCGAACACGAAGAGTCGGTCCTCTCGGTGCCAGAAGAGACAGAACGTTCAATGCATCGGCGACGAACAATCATTAAGGATGCAACGATTTCTCAAAATATCGATAACGATATTATCATCATTTAGAACCATCAATAACGATAATATCGATAATTTTGAAAAATATCGATATTTATATCGATATCTATATAAAAAAATATATGTACATATGTGTTTCTAAGTTTAATCTGATACAAACTTTACAACAATGCTATCTTGAACATAACAAATTCAATATTTGTTTATAATACTACAAAAAGTCAAAAATAATTTAATATACTACTAATGTAAAGGTCATTTTACACAATGTATTGTTCGCGATAAATTTGAGTTATATATCTATTCATGTAATATATTGTATAATGTAGCTAACAATACATGATTATTAAATGTGTACACATTTATTATATATATTTATTATGCGTATGCATATAAAGAATGTACACGAAAAATTTTTTTAAATCTTTTAAAAATTTTTATCTTCATATAATTTATTGTCACATTCTTATTAGAAAATATATAATAAACCGCAGTTGTTTGCCGGTGATCACCGCATACATGGAGCAGGAGATCTATTACGGTTCAACGATCGAGATGGAAATGATAATTGTGAGCGAATTTACTATAAACATCGACCAATTACATAATATATATTCTAGTGAATTCACTTTTGTAATTTTCATGTCGGTAATAGAACCGTAATAGGCCCTCAGAGCTCTGTAACTGAAAAATAAAACTGAATAAATATCAATAAAATTCATAACGATATATCGATTTTATCGGAGATAAAAAATATCGATAAAAATATCCATATTTGTCTCTCGATATATCGATATTTCGATATTATCGCTTTTTCGTTGCATCCCTAAGAACCACGCGAGCACGCGGGAGGGCGAACTGGAGATTATGTTACGTTACGTTACATTACGTTATGTTATGTTACGCAATACAAACAATATAATGGGAGCAAATGATATTGTTATGTTAATCCGACAAACCGCAAAATTTTGATTTGTTGGCGATGCAGAATACAAGCAAAGGTTAAAAATTATGTGTAAGCAAATCAGTTGTATTAACTCTTTCTCATCGGCGTATAATATATAGCAAAATGCGTAAAATACTTAATGAAACACATACAATGCTACACTAGCGCGTGTCATAATTACCAGATAATTCAAATATAGCTCCGTTACATCTAATTAAACATTGGTAAAGAAGGGTTAACGAAATAATAATTCTGTGTTTGTGTTTTGTAGGCATTCGCAGAAAGAAACAGAATAACGCATTATTACGTTAATCTTTATTTTATCTTTATTTTGGCACGATACAATATAAAATTAATAAACTGTTAGATAAGGTTAAATGAAGTTAAGGCGGATATACACACAAAGGCTCGTACTGCAAAAGTACTTTATCAATAAAAAGGTTTGTAAAAGTAGTTCGTAGCTACTTAAAAAAGCTTATAAATCACTTTCAGAGATGCTTTCATCCATATATAATAATTCAGAATATAGAGCACAGAAGAGTCACGTGCATGTGTACAGGGGGTGTACGGGATCTTTTAAAAACGAAAAATTCTAAAGATTAATCAGATCAAACTGAGAAGGAAAGTCAAGTACTTATTTGTAAAAATCGCAAAAGTTATTAAATTATTAATGATTGAAGTGATCACATTTGGAAGCTTTTTTAATCGATAACTTGAACATTTCCATACTTGTTTGCAAAATGGTAAGGGACTTTTTTGTTCAGAATAACCTAACCTACAATTGTATGGCGGCTATTGTGCCTAACGATAGATTCAAGATTTAGACTTCAAAGTTCAATATTCTCATATCGTTAGTAACCATCATATAATATAGATTAGGTCATTTTGAACAAAAAAGTCCCCATCATTTTGCAAAGTACGCAAATTTTCAAGTTATCAATTAAAAGAGCCTCTAGATGTGGTCATTTCCAATCATCAATAATGTAATAACTATTGCAATTTCTTCAAAATGATACGTGACTTTTCTTCTCAGTTTGCTCCAATTAATCTTCACAATTTTTTATTTCCAAAAGATCCCGGACACCCTGTATATTACGCTATTACGATGTTGTTATTCTTCTTACTAGAAGTCGTACATCCAACAAACATGTATGATCGCTGATTCCCAGCGATGTATACTTGTTAAAATTACAAATAACGAAAAATGATTTGTTGCGGTATCCGTTTGATTTATACAACTGTCAAACAGCAAACATTCAGTTGTTATGAACAATAGAAGTTTTTCTCTCAGTTACATGCGGGCGGTTACGTACCTTCTAAAAACCATCTCTCGTGCGAAGGGCCGACGGATCCCTGCTCGATCGGTATCTGGCGATTTCTCTCATTCTGCTGGACGACTCTCACCCTGTTCCGTTTTCCTGAAAGATTACAAAAGCGGGTGCTTAGTCCTCGGCTGCAGACGCGGAGCGTGCCATGTGACTCCTCCGAAGGTTAACATAAGGAGTCTCGCCTTTATCGAGAAAGAGAGAGAGCGAGAGATGGTGGTGCAGCGAGCGAGCGAGCGAGTGAGTGAGGGAGGGGGAGAGAGCAATTTTTCCCCCCGAGTAAAACGTCAACTTTTAAACGACGCGGGGCTAATAGCGTATCGAAGGCGTAACAAAAAAAAGCGGTCCGATCGTTTCTACGCATACACGAGATTAACTATGTCGTGTATCACGCCACGCCGGTTACTTAATACCCTTACACACGCCACTTAACACTTAACAATACCCGGCGATTTTTCCTCCGAGTGGCGCGTTAGCTCCTCTTCCTCTTCTTCCACTTCTTCTTCTTCCTCTTATTCGCCTTTGTCTCTCTTTCGTTTTTCTGCCTTCTCTATCTCTCTCTCTCTCTCTCTCTCTCTCTCTCTCTCTCTCTCTCTCTCTCTCTCTCTCTCTCTCTCTCTCTCTCTCTCTCTCTCTCCCCCTCCCTCTCCCTCTCTCTCCCTCTCTCTCCCTCTCTCTCCCTCCCTCTCCCTCTCTCTCCCTCTCTCTCCCTCTCTCTCTTTCTCTCTCTCTCTATATATATATATCGGCCGTTGCATTCCGGGAAAAAAAATTCCCTCCGCCTTTTCGCTTTTTATCACACGCGCGCACGTGTGTTTTTCACTTTGTGGCGTTACGGCCGCTCTGTATAAAAATTAGCAAACATTTGACTGTTGTCCGATATATTCGACAAACATATCAATGCAAACGCACGAGTATCTAAATCGCTTGGGATGTTTGCAGTATCAATACAGGATACCTCGATTTATTTGTTGCGCAATGTTTAACGCAAAAATTGTGTACACGCGACGTGCCAACAAAGTCAAGTTTTTCGACGTGGAAGAATAATGAGGCTCGAAAGCGCGCGCCGGTAATGGAAGAGCGCTGTTTGCTCGCAAATACATTTGATTGTTGTTAGCACTGCGGTTAAATGGCACAAAACGAGGCGCCGAACAAAGCGGAGCATCCCGCGCCGTGGAACTTCTTCGCTATATAGCACAGCGAGGAGCCACTCGCAGTCGAAGAAACTCGCGGAAGTATTTGATTTTTAGCTTCTCTAACTCGGCCGCGTATTCCGTCCGCCGAAGGAATTTAATTGGATTCTTTTACGCCCGGCCGTCGATCGGCGGAAATTACACGTTCATACGCGCGCCGGAATTTACGTATTCATCCCCTTTGCTCGAGAAACATTCTTCGGACTGAAGCCGGCCGGAAGTAACGAGCATCCGTGTGATATTCTTCCCCCAGAGTGAAATTCAATCGACGAGACACCCCGACTCGTCGTCGATTCGCCACGAGATTTCCAGCAGACTTCTGTTCATCAAACTCACATCCTGACAAGCCAGAATCCCAATACTCGCGTGCTCGTCTCCGCGAACCTTTAAGTATCACGCGTCCCCTCCCTCCCGCGGAACATAAAACCGCAAGAATGGAATCTAGTCTCGAGTGCCGTTGCACGAATGTAGATCGTCTGGGATCGACTGGAGAAGCGACAACAAACGTAACGACACAACCGCGTGAAAACTCGAGCTTCCATTCGTCGGATTTGGCGGCTTACTGCCTCGACGTAAAGAACGGCGACGCGGCAGTTACAAACGTCGGGAGCGCGAGACGAAGTGGAAACAGACAGTAGTCGGTCGGACGGGGCGACCGATAACCGCGGAGTCGCGTCGCGTGTATCCCGTCGCGGGCGTATCAGACGATGCCAACGGCACCGCGCCGCCGACATAACCATTTACATAACCGACATTCAACTGGTTCTTGAACTTCACTCTTCGATTCCTTTCACCGTGGCGATCCTCCTACGCTATATCGATCCATGACCACCACGCTGGAAGGAGTGACCCCACCGGCGCGCACGAGATGGAACGACCGAAAGAGAGAGAGAGAGAGAGAGAGAGAGAGAGAGAGAGAGACCGCTGGAAGAAGGCGGAGTGGTGAGGGCAGCACGAAGGGTGATGTACGCGGTGGATATTTGTATTTTTTCCGCCCTGCACGCACCCGCGCCGCGGTGCTTTCAGATACGCGCGTGCGAACATTCGCAGCGTAACGGTGCGATGACGGAGCGCGCTCCGGACGAGCCACGAGGAGATTTTCTACCTAAGACCACGGTCGAGGTATAAAACGGCACAATGTGCACGTCATCGATTGCGTCCTCCGGGATGAAACGAGAGTCGGAGCGGCGCGATCCGTGAGATCATGACGGGGAAGCAACGACGAACGCGTCTTTTTCGCGCGATACACGAATCGTAAGGGATTCTCGACGATCGCCCGAAATCGCCGTGACTTCGACCAACCGCCTTCGGCGACGTTTACCGTCTTTATGCCCGTGAGAATAAATTACGCGACATATATTGGCGAATAGCCGGCGAACTCTACTTCGACAGCAAAAACCCATCTGAGGTGATGATGATCAGTCTCTCCTTGACAGGCCGGCCGACAACTAACCTGTCCTCGAGGAACGTCACTTCCGATTCTCACAGAAACGGCCGACGACGAGATATCGATATCGCGAAAGGAGCTCTCCCGACGCTTTCGCCAGGACGACGACGAGGACGTCGCGTACGTTTCCGAACGCCATCCACGATCGATCATCCACTGACGAGAACTGCACCGTTTATCGTCATCAAGCGGGCGCTCACACCGGCGAGAACGGAGCTCGTCTTGAAACAACGTAGCACATTCGAAGCAACTTCATCCGAAAACTCTTCCGGAGGATCTCTACGAAGACATCGATGACAAGACACTGATATCGGAGCGCTGACACCAACGGGACGATTCATTCGGGGGGCGAGAGTCGAGAGCACGACGAGGCTTTCGACGGGAACTCACCGAGGAAGCGCGTCGTCCCGCAAGGAAAAGGAGGCACGTCGTCCTCGCGGCAAGAGCTTTCCGAGCGACACCTGCGCACCCGCGAGGAAAAGGAGGCCCGTACGAGTCGTCTACGAAGAGGCCGGTGTATGTGAGGGATAAGGAAAAGGCAGCGTAGGAAAAACGGCGACGTGTGGCACCGGTGCCGTGATGCCGGTATATCGGGCAAGGAGAGAGAGAGAGAGAGAGAGAGAGAGAGAGAGAGAGAGAGAGAGAGAGAGACAGAGACAGAGACAGAGCAGAGCCACCACGAAAATCGTGTGGTGGCGTGCCAGCCGATGGTCCCGGACCAACCGATCGATATACCCTTTTTTCGAGAGAATGCCTTCTCTCTCTCCCTCTCTCTTTCTCTCCTGCCGCTTTCGGCGCTGTCGGGCCGTCTCCCTCACTCCCCGTTTCACTTGGTCTCGCGCTCACTCGTGCTCGAAACTTCGCCTCGGCGAGCCCTCGAGACGACAGAGAAAACCCGAGCGCGCCTTCGCCGTCCTCGGGGAAAAGTCGAGCGGGCGCGCGCGCGCGCGCGCCTCCGTCTCGCCGGCGACGGACAAGCGGAAGGATAAAAAGACGCGGAGGACAGACCGTGACGTGTCGGGGCGTCGCGTGCGAGTAACCTGGACACACGTACCTGACGAGAGCGGGAGCACGAGCGAGCGGGCCGCGCGAGAGAGCACAATCAAACCAGCCGGCTCTCTTTCTCCTTTCTCTCTTCACCCTCTCGTCAACCTTCCTCCCTCCCTCCCTCCCTCCCTCCCACCTTCTCTCTCTCTCTCTCTCTCTCTCTCTCTCTCTCTCTCTCTCTCTCTCTCTCTCTCTCTCTCTCTCTCTCTCTCTCCCCCCCCCTTTCCTCCCGGTCTTTCTTTTTTTCTCTCTGTCTTTCTTTTTTTCCCACTCTCCGACTACGGCTATTTTTCTCCTCACTCTTTCTCCCGCGGCGAAAGGAGGCAGGAGGAATCTTCCGGTTGCAGCTTTCTCACCTCACCGTATAACGCCACGCGGGAATCAATACGCGCGCCTGCCTCTCTCTCTCTCTCTCTCTCTCTCTCTCTCTCTCTCTCTCCCTCCCTCCCTCCCTCCCTCCCTCCCTCCCTCCCTCCCTCCCTCCCTCCCTCCCTCCCTCCCTCCCTCCCTCTCTTCCTCTCTCCCTCCCTCCCTCTCTCCCTCTTACTTGTACTCCTCTCACTCTCACGCTACTACCACCCCTTCGCGCTCGGCTCTCCCCCTCGTACTCTCGCTCACTCGCTCGCTCGTTCGCTCGCTCTTTCTCCTTCGCACTCTCGTTCCTTCTCTCTGTCACCCACCCTCTCGCCGAGCCGCTAGCCGTCCGTCCACCCCGCCCGCGCGACGCTTCGCTTCCCCTCTCCCTCACGCGCGCACCCTTCACCGCCGTATACGCTGGCTCCGCTGTACGCTGCTGAAGAGCCGCTTCTCCCCCGCTGCACTCAGCACTCGGACGGTGCGCCGTCCTCGTCGTTCTCTGTCTCTCCCTCTCTCTCCCTCTCTCTCTATCCTCGCCTCGAGCACGAGCGGGGCTGCTCCTCCTCGTGGAGGGTCGGCGAACGAGAGAGCACCTCGACGACGATGACCGCGACGATGATGACGACAACGACGACGATGACGAAAACGGCAACGGCGACGGTGACGGCGACGGTGACGGCGACGGCGACGACGACGGCGACGACGACGATGACAACGACACGAGGACTACGAGGTTCATTCGCTTACTCGTGCACGCACGCACACACGCACGCACGCACGCACGCACGCACGCACGCACGCACGCACGCACGCACGTACAGCAACGTCCGGCGACGGCGACGCGGAGAAGAGAAAACGTGGGGCGCTTTGCGCGGGTTACGAGCCGCCCCTGCGTTAGGGAACTGACGACCTCCGGCTCGCGGGGTGCAACGCGCCCCACCGCATAACCACGACTATACGCTCGGCCGCCGCGCGGACATGTTGAGGGCCGCGACACGCACGCAAGCGCGCAAGCGAGTGAACGAGGGTGGCAGCGAGCACGACGGAGCGGGGATGACGGCGGCGACAGCGGTGGTGGCGGCGGCTGCGACGACGAAGACGACGATTACCGCGCAACGTTGCCGTCGTCGTCATCGTCGTCATCATCGCGCGTAGTGGTGTAGGTGTGACAGCGACAAATACTTGTCGCTCTTCTGCTTCCCCCGAGAAGGTGTATCGCTGACGTTTTTCCCTCAGCCATTAGGACCACGCGTGGAACTTCGATTACGGATTGTGCCGAAAACCTTATCGATCTCGAGCACGTTCTCAAGTCTTTCGACCTCTCAGGTCGCCGGCGGCAGAAAGACACACACACACAGAGAGAGAGAGAGAGAGAGAGAGGGTGCGAGTGTGCGAGTGTGCGAGTGTGCGAGTGTGCGAGTGTGCGAGTGTGCGAGTGTGCGAGTGTGCGAGTGTGCGAATGCGCGAGTGCGCGAGTGTGCGAGTGCGCGAGTGTGCGAGTGTGCGAGTGTGCGAGTGTGCGAGTGTGCGAGTGTGTGAGCGTGTGAGCGTGTGAGCGTGTGAGCGTGTGAGCGTGTGAGCGTGCGAGCGTGTGAGTGTGTGAGTGTGTGAGTGTGAGTGTGTAAGTGTGTGAGTGAGTGTGAGCGTGAGTGTGTGAGCGTGTGTGTGTGAGCGTGTGTGTGTGTGTGTGTGTGTATGAGCATGTGTGTGTGAGCGTGTGTGTGCGTGTGAGCGTGTGAGCATGTGTGTGTGTGTGTGTGTGTGTGTGTGTGTGTGTGTGTGAGAGAGCGCGCGCGCGCGCGCGCGTTTGTGTGTGTGTGTGTGTGTGTGTGTGTGTGTGTGTGTGTGTGTGTGTGTGAGCGTGTGTGTGGAGCGTGTGTGTGTGTGTGTGTATGTGCGTGTGCATGTGTGTGTGTGTGTGTGGGGGTGGGTGGGTGGGTGTGGGTGGGTGGGTGGGTGTGGGTGTGGATGTGGATGTGGGTGTGGGTGCGTGACATGGAGAGATCTCGTGGGCGCATTAGTGACGAGTATAAATTCGCAAGGCGATTTCGATCAGGAGGAGACGTGTGAACAAATTCGCGCTCCCTTATCGCGAGATTTCACCACCGCCAATCTTTGTCGTAGTCTACCAGCGACGGATGAGAGAACAATTAAAAACCGTGCCACACGGAAGTAACTTTTTACAATGTTCGTACGTAACTCTCGATGCTCGTGCTCCACGTGTTTTGGATACGGTGTAATTTTTGCGAACTCTCTCTTGTTCGCGCAAGAGAGAGAAAGAGAAGGAGAGAGAGAGAAAGCGCACGGTAGACATCCCCGATAGAAATTCGCCTTATTGTCTATCCGCACATTTTGCGTAACCTCGCGCGCTGCAAAAAGGAGAACGCAACGTACTGCTCTGTGGAGCGGCGAAACAGTATTACTTCCACGCAGAGCGGCTTAAAATTTCCGCCGTTCTCCCGCGGGAGAGCATTACAGCGCGGTGTCGATTATTGCATACTGATTACACGAACATCTTAAGAGGTCGCCTACTACCAAGGCGCATGCTTAGGGGAAACTTTAAGGGTTGCCGAACGGATCCGACGTCGCCGTTCGCGGCGTTCGAAGTTTCCATCGAAACTGACGTCCCTTCGGCTACCGCTTAAAACCCCAACTCGCGCGCGATGCATGTGCGAAAAGTTACGGCGTAAAAGATTGTACTTTCGGAAATTACGCCGCGCCGAACGAACGAACGAACGAGCGAGCGAGCGAGCGCGAGGGATTCGAAATAGAGGGGCTCGTAGCGTAGCCCATAATTTATAAGAGATCCATCTCTCCACGTGGAACTTCACGTGTAAAATTACAAATTGCAGACATGCTTTACACCGCGATGCCGCGAAGAGAGAGAGAGAGAGAGAGAGAGAGAGAGAGAGAGAGAGAGTGAGAGGGAGAGGGAGGGGACGGAGAAAGATAGGGCACATAATCACATGCGCATCGGTGTTTTTCGCCGAAAGCCAGAAGCAAGCCGCGCGTTTCATTGCGGGAATGCAGGGAATCACCTGCGAAGATCGATGACACTTATGCTTAAGGGTGGCGGAGAAAGGGAGAACAAAGGAAGTAGATCAATTTCAGCGGGACGTTACGAAACTCGCGCGCCGGCAGACCATCGACATAAGAATATCTCCGGACGGAACGTTCTGCAAGAGGAAGGTCTAATTAGCAGTAAGACAAGTTACGCTACTTCGGGATTTTCTGCTCCGCGGCTTTTTCGAGTATGTTCGGCTTTGTACCAGCTCGCGTTGGGATCGTGACATTTGCCACCGGCTGAGCTAATGTCTGCAAAAAATTGCAAGTGTGTTGTAAAATACGCGAACAAAGTAAACACGTGCGAGCCGAAAGACCTAAAGTACCTTAATTTTCCTCTCGTCAGAAATTTATGCAACCTCCTTGGCTAAATTAGCAGCGCATACTCTGTCTAGATATTCTTATGTTCGTTCTTATATTCCGTTCTTCGACGGTGTAAGGTAAACGTACCGAATTACGCCACCTTAGCTTGTTCTATGCATGTAATGAAACATAGTTGAGTAAAAGTGTCTAAAAATTGCCGGAAAAGAAGCCGCGATAGTGTCAAATGGCTTCGCTAAAGTAAACATACGAAAGTATTATAATGTAATTTTCCGGGAAAACTAACTTCAAAAGCTTATATAAAAATCTGTCACTTTTGACTATTTTCGACTGAATTTGCTTCTAAATAATTACTAACCTATGAAGTGACATTGTATCTTACATTGTACGATAAAACGAGATGTTTTTGGGCAGTAATATAAAATGTTTTGTAATTTTGTGCGATTAAAATATAATAAATGGTGATAAAAAAGTATAACATTATAAAGTTATATGGTTTTTATATAATATAATATAGACATTACATATTTTATATAATATAGATATCACATTTGGTACATAATCAGTAGCGTAAATTGGAACCTACAATTTCAATGAGCGTAATTCGGGACATTTGCAGTTCATACTTAATTCTTCTATATAAATAAATAATCTTATTTATTTCTAATTTGTATGTGTGTTTTCGCTAATTTACAAAATAATAACTTTTAATAAGGTTCATAGTCTTATCTAATACCGCTTTACTTTTTAAAAAATAGAAACTAGTCTCAAAAATTAGTCTTTGCTTAAAGTGGCGTAATTCGGTATGTTTATCTTAGACACGTTAATCGAGCTGCTCATTACGCGCAAGGAGAATGTAGCTGAAAAATGTTGCGCAATTATTCAGTAAATTGACTCGGAGGAGAGATTTCTCGTAAAGCTGCGCAAAAACGGGATGTCTCGATCGCGTTATAATCGATCGGTCGAATTTAAAACGTTCAGTTAAAATTAGAAGTAACCCTACTTGTTCGAAGCTTCGAATTTGCGGAAAATTCGAAATATCGGAGTTCTCGCTAAAATTAATTTACTATTATTGTGATTGTACATATTTTCGAGTTCCCAAAATCTCGAGTATGCAGACGCTCAAATATTTGGACTCCGAAGTTTCGTTTGTCGAATATAACGCCTCGAAGTTTCAGAGATCCATCGCTTCGAAAAAGCGAAGCTTCAGATATAATTAATAGCGATAATTACAATCCTTGTCGCGCTGATCTCGCAGGATGATTTCGACGAATGATGCGAACGCCGCGACGTCGCGAACGGTGCGCGTAATTGCAGTCGATAAAGGTAGAAAGGCGAATAATAGTCATTGAGCGGACGGGCCGGCTTATATTAATTTGCAAGCTCATTAAGCTGTTTATTCGAATTCAATTGACGGTGCGCGTTCTCGCGACTTATTACGCCTGTCGAATCATTCGTCGCCGATCGCTCGAGCGACTAAATTAATTGATGCGTCATAAAGAGAAGATTCGGTTTTCTAAAACTGCAACAAAGGCAAATTCGGATATTTATCTACTTGATATTTATTTATTTGCATTTACGTGTTCCTTGGGAAGCAGCGAAGAGGAATTAGCGTAAACAATACAAAACGACAATGATTAGTCAATTTCTTCAATCCGCCGCTGAATTTGGCCATTTTATTTATATTCTTGCACTCAAGTCGCCATATTTGGCGGGCGGCCGCATTTTTTAAGCGAACTTCGCATAGCCGAAAGGTATCTCATCCGGCGCGCATTTCACGCTCAAAGATTTAAGAGATTCCTCCTGAAAGTAACTTGCTTCGAGAGAAAGAGAGAGCCGAACTTAAGTTGACGGCTCGATCCTCCCTCTTGTCGTTGCCGACGAGCCTAAATGTCCTACTTCCGGTTCGGCTATTCTAGCCTGGATCGATTGGGACGGTCGGCTCGTGTCAAAAACACTCGACAGGGAAGACGTCGCGTCGATTCTTCGCCGTCGAAGAACCGAGTCCGACTGTCAGCTCATAAATTTTAGGACGGAGCGTGTAGCGCAGCAGGATTAAATTCTTTCTCGCGCACAATCGACACGGTGGATTAAAACCTCCGGACAACTCGCGACACATCCGTCATGGCGTGGGAACGGCAAAGGTTAGCACGAGGTATAGCAGATCGTGAATTTTATATCGCTAATGGACGGCTGACCGAATAACCGTCTGATTATGTAATTACACGGAGATATTCCACACAAGCAAGCCAAATCGAGAAACAGAGTGCGTTGAAACCCGATATATATCCCTTTACATATTTGCGATATGAAATCTTAATTGGAATCTACGATTTTCCAAGAAACGAGAGAAAAGAGAGGAGAAAGAGAAGAGCAGAGTCTCTCTCGACGTCGTAAGAACGCTCGCATGGGGAAAAGCCTTCAAGAGCCTGAGAACTCGCTTCTTGGATCCTCACGAGAACGTAACGATACTTCGACTTCGTAATATAATATTACGCGAGCCGGAGAGCTCGTCCCCTTATTTCACGATTGCACGTTCGAATCCTGGCGTGCCGACACAATCGCAACTGGATGGACTGGAGATACCCGACACATGTCGTTGCGATTGGACCGGTATTTGAATGAACGGCAGACGGCATTCACACCTTTTTTCAACCCCTACTCACCACACTCGCGACCTCGTCCACTTCGAAAGCGATGTACCTAAAGGTTACGGTGGTTGACACGCGAACATTACCGCGTGCATGTATGTCACTGCACCTACGCACGTCGCACGGCATGCACGAACGCAGTGATGTATCGAGTTTTCTTCAGGTTCCCGTTGAATCGACATCTATGAAAAGTCAAAGAGCCACCCTACCAATCTATTGCTTCGATCTCACCAAAATTTACGTATGAGGACTCCTTGAGATTTATTTATTTTCTGTCTGTCACACTTCCTCTCTCTTCCTTCTTCTCTCTCCCACCTCCTCCCTCCTCTCTCTTTATCGTCTGAAAATATTATAAATGTAAATTATATACATAGTCCTCCAAATAATCAAATAAATTTCTAGATTGGAAAAAATCATGATTTGATTCTCTTTCACAATATGGGCCGTCAATTGAAAGAAAGTGGCAGAGATTTTCGAAACTTGCATGTAGATAGCCAATCAACAGACAATATTTTTTTAACGTTTTTCAAATATTTATTTTACATTATTTTCACATTTCTTCCATTCATTACCAAAAATATTTATTTAACGTTTATTTAATATATATTTTACATTAATTCTTCATTTAAAATGGTATTTAAAAAAAATATTTATTTAACGTTTATTTGACGTTTATTTTACATTAATTCTTCATTTAAAATAATCATTAAGAAGAAACGTTTACTTAACGTTTATTTAATGTTTATTTAACATTTATTTTACATTAATAACTCGTTTTAAATTATTTTTAACGTTTTAAAAATGTTTTTTAAATGTTTTGTTAATATCTTTAAAAACATTTTTTAAATATTTTTTTCTGATTAGGTAATTTTCCAAATAGATTGCGGTCATTATGGATTACTGTGTGTTGTTTAGTCGCATTGAAAATCAATACCTTTAAAAAAATGGCAACTATCTTCTGATTTCTATCTTTTTATTCCTCTTTTTTTCTTTTTCTCCCAGTGATAGATCGGTCATCGCGAGGCGCAGTCAAGTTAGCCGCTAGGCTGCCCAGTAGATACGTACGCTACTGGCTGGCCGCGTATACATACGTCGATCCGGACGAACGTGCGATTCACACACACATATAATGCCGATGCGGCGGCGGTGGCGGCCACGCTACGCCCCCATCAGCACGTACTACGGGAATACTACGTTCTGTGATGCGGTGCAATTAAGCCCGAGCACCCCTCCACCCCCATCATCCCCACCATCGGCCGCACAGACTTCGGACCCGTTGCAGGGGCGCAAGTCTGTGTCTTCTTTTACCACCCTCTCCCTCTGCCGTTTATCCATTCGTTCATTCATCAGAAAGAACACACCTTGACCGGCTTACCAACGTTCGGCCGACGTGTACGTTAAATCGAACGAAATAAATTGCACGATTGCGCTCGATAAAACGAAGGGATTAGCTTCCGGTGCTTGTACTTCGTTATTTCACGCTAAGCTTTGAGAAATTTTACAATGAGTCGACGAGTGAAACTTTCAGGAGCTTCTCATCAACAGATAACGAATCGTATTAATGCCAATTGATACAATTGGCATTAGATCCACGCCATTTCTTCTGTTTTTGTATTAAACAGGAGGAAATATATTTTTTTTTAATCGTAATTAAAACTGTTAGGGGATGTGGTATACGCAAAGCGCGATGTAACATGGAATTTGTAATCGCAGACAACACTCTTTCGTTTATATTTGCTCTTGTAAATTTTTGTTCTTTTGGAACTTACTGACTTTCTTACCGACAAGTCCAAATCACAGAATGCAACGGTTTCAAGTCCGCAAACCAAGAATTGCCATGATGTACAATGAATTCGTCACATTTTACTTTCAACGACCAGTTTTTTTCATTGAATGTTCATTAAAGCGAATGTCCCAAGTAGAGATAAAAAACCATTATGGTTTTCCCCATTTTCCCCATTTTCTCTAATAAATCAATCGATATCAATCCACATTTATCCTCAACATGTGTCCTACACCAAATTTTATATATTATTGTTTATAATAAATTTCAGATAAATTTAAAAACCATGGTAAACGCGAAACGTCATAATTACAAGTACCGACTGATGGCGAACGACTACGTACAGACACCTTAGTTAATTAAATCAACTGTCTATTCGCTAG